CTAGATGCTGCTTCATGCTGCCCTTCCTTTCCACTGATACCTGGCCCATCTTGCGTGCTGCCACAGACGGTCTGTGCTTTGCAGCAGCTTACATTAAACAGCATCAGAAATAAGGGTGCATGTTTGTAAGGCCCTAGTAAACACACAGCGCAGTCACATCACAAAGAGATTTCTTGATTAAGGGCCTAAGGTCAAAGAGTTCAGTATGTGATTTCCCTACGCCAAGCAGAATATCCAGATGAAGATGCCAACAGCTTCATCTAAGCTGGACAGGGGAAGCAGTCTTTCCCCTGATCACTTTAGAATAGGTATTGCTGAGTCAGCAGCATGGGTTACAGAAATCTGTTAAAGAGGAGAGGCCAACAGGGAGTGAGGCAGAAAAAATATCTAGGACAAGAGAGGGTGATGTTTCCTACCATCCCAGGGCTGAACTGGCTTGCCTAGAGTCATCCAAGAGAGAAATCAAACTGGGCACACTATTTCCACACTGCAGCCCTGCTTGCCTAGAGAGGAGCAGTGGGTCCCACCTGCCTCCAGCCACAGCCACATCTTTTCAACCCTTGCTGGCCGCTCACCATCATTACCCCTTTCCTTATCCTCTTCCCCCATTAAACCCCATCCTATGTCTTTTCCCATAAATTTTCATCTCTTTTTCTGTCTTCTCTCAGGTGTTCGCTCGCAGACTCCCTGACCCAACACAAGCATCTCCAGGCACTGCCGGTGTCACTGGGTGAACCTCCATCCCCAAAACCTGCAGAATACAAGGAGACGCTTGCCCATGCTTACCATTTTTATTAGCAGCCCCACAGTTGGGTTCCCAATCCCACAGTGAGGGTACTGGGGTACAGGGTGGTGTCACCCTGCGAGTCACGTGGTGAAGCCCTGGGTGCCGCAGTGGGGTCCCTGCCAGCTGTCGTAGCACTGGCAGCTGAACTCCTCAGCCAGCCAGGAGACATCATTGACATCATTGCCATCATTGGCCACGAGCCAGGGCTTGCCAGCTTGCAGGTCGATGGTGAAGCGGGAGGGGTCGAGGTGGAGGAAGCCCTGCTTGTTCTCCTGGCGCACGCAGCGTCCCCGACCGGAGCACAGGCTCCTGCTGCACAGATCAGCGCTGGCCGTCACGTTGACAATGTAGCGGCCCAGGGGCCCCTCCACGTAGTTCTTCAACCTCAGGCACATCTCCTGCAATGGTATGCAGTGTCACAGCTCCACACCGCCAGAGGACAGGGTAGAGGAGTCACTGAAGGCAGTGCCACCCACCGTACTCACCTTGGAGGTGCTGTGGTTGGAGCTGCCCCAGAGGACGATGCCAGCGGCACCCTGGGCTGCACTCTCCCCGATGGTATTTATCAGGTCCTCCTGCACCCAAGGGGAGAGGAGAAGTCAATGGTGCCCAAAGACCCTGTGCCACCCTAGCAGAGCTAAAGACTCCCCAGTGAAAAGCCCTCAGCCCAAGAGGTGCCCACCATCCCCATGTCCCCATCACCTCAGAGAGAAAGTCGACGGTGCGGTCAAAGACAAGCTGAGAGTAGGGCAGGACAGGAATGCTGGCATTGAGGACATCACGCTGGACAGCAAAAGCCTCAGCCACGCGGTGCCGGACATAAGCGAGCACCTTGTTAGTGCTCTTGAGGCAGCAGGGTAGGTAGATACTGGGGTAGAGTGCCCGGCTGCTCTCCCAGAGCCACCACAGCTCCTTGTTCCTCTGCTGCTCCACCACAGGGCACAACCCAGTGTAGGGCAGGCTGTCAAAGTCGTTGTTGTAGCAGTCAGGGAAGCCATAGAAACCCCAGTAGCCATCAGGACGGAGGGTCTCGCCCAGCTGCAAGGTCTGCTCCATGAAGTTGCGGGCGCTCTGCTCAAACTGCTGCTCGGCTATCTCCTTCACCAGCTCAGGGGGCCACTGTGGGGGCTGTCGGGGGCCCACGGGGGGTGCCGCTGCCGCACCAGTTCCTCTGACTTCTGCTGGTAGATATCCATAGAGGCCCAGTTGCGGATCCACAGCGGGCGCCACTTCTCCCAGTCAATGACAGCCAGTCCACCATAGGCAGGGCTGGAGAGGGTGACCTTGATATCCTGGGTGGCCTGGCTGAGGTGGGCCTCCAGGCTGGCATTTTGGGGGAGCCCTCCATTCACTGGCACCCCCTCAGATGTGTAGTAGGGGAGGAGTCCCAGCTCCTTGACATAGAAAAGGGTGATGTCCTGGCCCATGAAGGACTCCTGGTCATTGGCCAACACGTCAAAGACCTCCAGGTTGAGGGTGATATTGTACTCCATGGCGCAGTGCTCTGAAGGAATGTTCCAGATGGTGACAAAAGGGCGATTGACGAGGACAGGGCCGGGCCCCCCAGCACAGACCAGGGCAAGCAAGAGCAGCAGAAGGACCAAGGAGGGCCACCCTGATGCCATGGTGCTGGCAGGCACAGGATGGGTCCTGGAATTGCCTGGGGAGAGCTGAGACAGGCTGAGATCAGGGCAGATCTCGAGGCTTTTATCCCCAGCCCA